TTATTTATTTATTTATTTATTTATTTATTTATTTATTTATTTATTTATTGAGTCTGCTCTGTTCAGGCTCAGCACAATGAGTGGCTGCTGGTTTTTGTTGTTGTTTGTTTGTTTGTTTGTTTTTGTTTTTAATTTAACTACAGCCGAGAAGCAGAAAAACAAATCCTGAAAATATGAGCCTTTTAAGATGCACACCTATAATTCCAGCACTGAGGAGGTAGAGGCAGGAAGCCTAGGAGTTCAAGGTCGACCTTGGCAATATAAGCACTCATATGTGATCCGTTTTCAGTATAAGGTGTGCTTAGGGCTGGTCAGAGGTGTGTGTGTGTGACTAGGCTCCTCTCTCCTCTGCCTGGCAGCTGGTATCTGCTTGCCTACGAACCCTCAGCACATTCTAGGGTTGAAAAGTTAGGGGTAGTCTGCCCACCTGACTGAGCCCACATATCTGAAAAGGAGGGGTTTGTGTCTGGAGCCATTAAGATGAGGAATTTGGGAAAAGAGCAATACTAGACATCAGGTAGATTGCAACTTCCTGAAGAATCCAGCCAATGAGAACAAAAGAGGGCAGAGAAATTCGATTAAGGGTATAAAAACCAGTTTTGTGTCAAATTTGGTGCCCCAAACATTTTTTGCCTTTTTTTTTCCCCCTAGGGTGCTGTCTACTTTGCAAGTTCATGAAACAGATTTGCTGCGTCCCCAGGACTCCCATCGTGAAGTGAAGCCATTGCTTCTGTCAGCTTTGTATTGAGTTGAGGCTAGCCTGATATATTCAGGCTTTGTTTCAATCAAAACAAAACAACCAAAACCTACAGAAAGCTGTGTCTTCAAAGACACAACGGGGGGAATACCCAGACACCCACTACTATAGTAATGGCCGTTTTTGGATAAGGAGTATTCTTTCTTTAATTTTTTTTTCTTAGTAACTGTTTAATATGAGCAGGATAGTGGTGAGGCAAACAAGAGGGCTTATAAAGACAAGAAACACAGTTAATTCCTTTTTCACCATCCTACAACACTGGTTTCCTGAGGACCGAATTTGGTAATCCCCAAAGGACCCATCCACCTTTCTCAGCAGGAAGTAGATAAAAGGGGTCTACAGCGTATCTCCCTACTAATCTACTTAAGATCGGAGTTGGAAGGGCAGTAAAGGCATTAAAGAACCTTAAGTAAAGTAGGTGTTTGGAAAATCTAAGCCTACATCACAGAAAGACATGACAGAACGAGTCAGATTGGAGATGCCCAACTCTCCTGAGAACGAACAAGAAAAAGAAGCCACTTAAGAGCAGTGCGGGGAGAGAGAGCCAGTCAGTTGTCAGTTGAGTTGAAGCAGTGGCGTTCATTTCGGAGCACTTGAGTTTGGTGCAGTTGAGTGAGCGCAGGGCAGCGGAGCTGAGTTTGTTCCTGAGTTCATGCAGAGGCAATTGAAGCCAGAGAAAGAGAAGGAGCCAGAAGATGAGGACAAATTGCCGAAGTTAGTTTGAGGCCAAGCAGGACAAATGTGAGAAACTGAGAGAGCCAGTGTTGAAGACCAGCTTTGGCCACTCAGGGTAGACTGAGGCAGTGGGCACAGAGTCGGAATTGCTTGTACCCAACAAAGATAAAAGAAAGAAAAGGGGAAAGAAGATCATAGGCTTACACACACACACACACACACACACACACACACACACACACACACACA